CTGAAGCGGACCAAGCCAGAGGCGCAATTTCATCTTCGTTTCTCAGTCAAAACATTACTTGCCTTTCTCGCTAAGGAGCATTCCTCTTAAGAGAAGCCAGACACAGACGGTGCTAAGGATGTCATTGGGTGAGCGGACTTACCTAAACTACCAAAGGGATTTTTCGCTTACCATTGCAAATTATCCTCCTAAATTTGGGGAATATCTTGGTCGAGTCGGCCATCATTATCTAATGAAAACTCAAAATTTTTAGTTTTGCCCAAGCGCTCCTTTAACGTCCATCGCAATGTGTACTAGCGGTAACTATCGTACCATAGCTTTAGCAATTGGTAGTTTTCTAGAGATGATGCTACTCCAAGATATATTTTTTTTAAACAGAATTTTCACTGAACTTACTCCCTCTTCTAACCTATCTCGCTGTAAATATTTATTTTGAACTTTTTGAAGATACTAAGTTTAACTGGGTACTTAACTTTTTGGTAAAATCTTCATGTTTGATAGAGCTAGATTTACACGTCCTTTAAAATGCAGCTGATATTTGAATAGCATTATGAGAATTTTCAAATTTAGGTAGTGAATAAAAGTTTTTATGAATTCCTTGAAAGCTGCAGACATGAAGGAAATCATACATAAGCAATCTCAAAAAAAGGCCCCAAGGTTTTATTGCGAAGAAAATCTATGCGCAATCAACTCAAAATGTAATTTGAATTAAAACTCAAAGTATAGCTTGTAAATATCAATTCCGCAACAAGCTACACACACAAATAATGAAAGATTCAAATATTAATCTTATTTACTGGATAAAGCACGATTTTGACAGGTATTTCAAGAGCTGCACTACCCAAGGATACGACTACGTAAATCTCGTCACTGTGAGTTGTCACATTGGCAACAGCCATTTTGACGACATACTATAGATTCTAGAATTTTGAGTTTCCATAGCATCATTGGCCGACTGACGCGTTAATTTTAAAAACCTACATCTCCGCATGCGGTAATTTGAGACGAGTTCTGACGACCCACTACTTTCGACATGACAGCTGCTAGCTAATATTTAATTTGACAACGTAGCTGTATTTTAAAAGATGCAGAATTATCATTTGCGCTATATTCACAGACAGTAGGAGAGCTTATGATTCAACGATTTATTTCAACTTTGTAAAACAACTGTATTATCTCACTGAGTTGTTCTCGCCTTTTCGAACGACTGGAGACAATTTCTAGAGACCAAGCTTGCAAGTCCCTTTCACAAACGGATTATTAGACTTAGGGATGCTTTTGCCACTGCATCTAAAAGAATGATAGTTGAGTCTGAGAATTTTGAATACCCTTCTTAAAGTCGCAAACTCATAGATGATATTCTCCTACTGGCATTGAAATCCTCCGCTGCATTTTCTGTTCTCAACTCTCACGCATTCTCCCGTAGATTTCCCAATGCATTGTCTACAGTAGTCTTGGCAATTTTTCCAGAGTTTGTCTGTTCCAGCCTTAAAGAAATTAGAAATTTAGAAATGTAATCCCCTCTGCCTTCGATCTTTACATCTCACAAAAAACGGCCGAACCTACCATTGTCTGTGGTGTGCAGCGACTCCAGTTATCGTAGCAGTTGCCTTTCGAAGTTGAAGCCATGACGGAGAACGATGCGCTGTTGGATGTGCTTGTTAGCAGCAGTACTTCAGCCACCTTTATACTTACTTCCTTAGTAGTTTTTCCAC